GCAGATCCATCCTAGATGCGGTGCGAGGAGCTAGACTTGAGTTCTGAGAGAACAAGGGGACTGGTGGCCGTTGACGACGGACTTGATGGTTTAGGGTCGCAGAGGAAGACGGTGCCGATGAGGCGTAGAATTGGGCCGATTTCACGGAGGTACCAAGTCTATTTGGGAAGATTGAAGGAGATCTGGGATTGCCTGCCGCCTGTATCTGAGCTAAGCGCTGGTTCTGATGTGCAAGAGAAGGGCGGTGCTGATGTTGCCGAAGGTGATGCGACGAATGGCGACGTTGGCTGACTATGAGAGCTGAAGATTGCGGTGTGGGTTGACTAGGTTGATTCAAAGGTAGAGGTTGATCGAACAAGACGAAGTCCTGCTGGGGTTGCTCGACGGGCGGGCTGAAGTGTTGTTGCGCGGGTTGTGCCGGCAGGCTGGATGAACTGGAGGGAAGCCATGATGATTGAGAATCCGTGGTGAAGACTGAAAAGTCTTGCGGTTGAATGTTGGCTGGTGGAGAACCTGAGCTGAAGCTGTGTGTAGCTGTGCTGAAGTTCAGATCGACCTGGAGAGGTAGAGCTGAAGGTTGAAGAGTGGGAAGAATGTTTACGTGAAGTTGAGACGGAATTTTGTTGAGCTGGGTAGAAGGAACGGCCAAGGAAGGGCGTTGGTTTAATGCATCTTGGAGGGCCTCTGAGGCAATGATACGATATTTGTGTCGGAAAAGTATAAGGATGATGAAGGAAAGAAAAGAAGAAGTGGCAAGTCGGCCAGTCGAGGAACTAGCGAGCTTTTGTAGCCTTTCAGACCCATATAGGCCAAACGACAAGTACAAGGCAAAGGGCGTAGCCGGTAAAGCCCTGTGGCTAAGAACTTGCAAATGGTACGCAGGGCATAGGTATCTTCATGCTTGCTGAGGTATCGTCAGGGCGCCTGGCCGCCATGAATCCGCCTTCACTAACAGTCTCGTGTACGACCAGTAAATGTACTGCACGTAATCTTGTTCCGCAAGAAGAGACTGGTGCAATCCCTGCTCGGGGCTAATGTGTGAGTCACACTTTTTGACGCCAAACCACTTGAAGACTAGTGCAGCTGCAACTGACTTGGCGCAGCTCACGGTGTTTTTACCAGCCATCGCGCACAGTAGCCTCCTCTCCCAAATTAGTACTTGAAGCTACTAGTACTGCGCAAGTAGATCTTTGACCAACTCAACCAGTCTTTTAATTATTCATATTATTTATCCTAGTTGGAAATGAAGCCAGGAGACTGAGAGTCAGTGGTAGGACTCTTCCGTATATGCATCTTCTGTCTTTCCTTGAGATCCTGCATGAAGTATTGTCATGCGTTTGCTGTTGCCTCAGAATCAACTCTCAATATCATTGCAGCTGTTACCTACAGTGCAAAGTCGGTGCCTCGCCCCCAGCACCAGGTTTGCTACACTACAGGCTATGCTTCACCATCCTTACACGAGGGGCGCATCCGCCTCCCTCTGTGGTTGCGTGCGTCAGCCATCCACCGTTCTCCTTACCAATAATTTAATTGGTGGCTTCACCGGCCAGCCAAATGGAGATGCATAGATGTGATCCTTTTACGGATAAACCGGGTACGGGCCCCATGTCCTACTTGATCTAATTACAGGAAGACCAATTCGTCCCACATCAATGTATACATACTAGTAGTAAACCTAGGTGCGTCCTAGAAGGCTCGTAATCCCGACGCACTTCATGTCACATCCCCTCCACTCATAAGCTGTTATGTACGAGATATTGACTTACTGAGGCAAGTCTGGCATGCGTCTCACACCTTTTTGATTTTCTCCTGTCCTAGCCAATCAGGCAGACGAATTTCTGCACCTGATCTGCTAGGTCAAGTAGTATGCTGTTTTCCCTGGATAACTCACAATTCTATCCTCTTTCCCACCTCTAGGCTTTTTGTATCGCCTCAAGTACAGCTTTATGCAGGTGTGCTGCTCAAACACATTAGTATCCATGCATGTTGATAGGTTTCTGCATAAGCTATGGACAGGAAGATATTGGTAGGTGAATATCGAAGCGTTGCCACACCACAATGTTCAGTTATCACCAATGGTGTACAAAGCGCTTCCCTGCAAAACCCTTTTGTGTTACTAGGTTTAGTTCACCCGGCTTTAGCAACTTGTCTTGCTATAAGTGTGCAATCTGACACACATTACAGGATAGTCTGCTGATTGAAAGAACATCATTAGAATAAATAAAATGCAACGTAAGCATCCAAGCGCTTTATATACCAACTATATAATTACGCTTCATTACATTTCACAGTGCGGCTCGTCAGACACCCTGAATCTCTATGAAGACTCAAATGTGCTGGCACCCCAATGCTTACCGGTATAACCGATGCAATTGTATATCATAGGCTGCTAATCCGTGTTTGAATCAATGTCTAAAGGAGGGCGCACCACGATGGCTCGTATCGTTCCGTGGAAGGGAGAAGCAGAGAGAGTGTGCGATTTTAGCGATGGCCTCTTCAGCCCAATATGATAGCTCCTGCGGTGATCTTTGACTCGATGGCAGCTGCGGGATTTGGGTGGACAAGCGAAACACACATAACTGTGCCAGTGTCCGCAATCAATACTCAGCCGCTGTTGTCTGCTGACCTGCATGACCGCCGCCAGCATGAGTCTCTAAAATCTCATTATCAACAATATCTTTGTTCCCGTCCCGAAAGTCCTTCATTAAGAGAAGAAAGCGGGAGTTTTTCCACTTGTCGCCTTGTTCATGCTGAACAGATTCTAGAATCTGTCGAGCAGCCTCTGAGATTTCTGACTGCTCCTGAGTGCTGGACTCAATTGGTGCTGCTTTAATTTGCTCATCCAAGCTAAGCCGCGATGTATCATCAAAACGATCCGACCGAGTAGTGTCCGTCAACATAACGCGGTCTTCAATACTGGATGAGGTGGCCTTCGCCCCTACATACGCCCCACGGCCAACTGCGACTGAGGCAGGCTTGGCCTGTTCACCTTGTTGCTCGGCTAGAGTGGTATCGCTGGCCATAATGTGAGAGGTACCGAGATTTTGAGCTTGTTGCGATGTGCAAGGTGCATCTATGTCTTGTTCCATTTGCCGCGCCAGTTCCTCCATGATGGCGTCAACGTCTTCTATTCGCTTGTCTCCGTGAGCCGCCATCCATTGGTCCATTTCTAGGTCGAAATCGGTCTCGGTAACGACAGCGGTATTGACTGTAGTACCATGCCTGGCAGCTGTGGCGGGAACGCCCGTTCCACCAAGCAAAGATGATGAAGGAAAACTCATCATATTGTGTGGAAAGCCTGCATGCCAATGGTGGTAGTGCTGTGAATTTGGGGTCATAAACGTAGGACCACCAGCACTTGAAACGTCCTGGGAGAATCTAGCGAAGTCCTGGGCCCAATTAGACGCTCCACGAAGTGATGCATTTGATGACTGATGTTGATAGAGTGGTGCAGAGGCGTTCCCAGAGGAAACTGGGGGCGATAGCTGAACAGCGGAGTGAAAAGAGGGAGGGAGCAAGCGTCTGTGATGTTGATCCGAGGAAAGATGTGGTGGTTGGAAACCAGCGTGGTCGCTAGGTATGGAGAGATTTTGGAAATTGGGACCATTCGATGCTAGAAATGCGCCGAAGGCATCTTGCGTCGAGTTTGAAGGGGTGGAAGCAGTGGCCCGAAAACCCTGGATCATAGTCAGAATAAGATGCCCAAGTAACATGGCAAGATTCGCGGCTCATTACTCACAGACTGAAAACCGGACGTACTCGAGATACGGTCCTGGTGCAGGCTTCGATCTTGAGTCCCATGTTGGACGAGGCTTTTGAATGGCGTTGAGCCGCTGCAAGAACTGTCGCCCATTATGTGCCAGTGCTGATGTACAAATGGAAGAGAGTAAGGATGCTGGCAAGAAAAGAGTCGTGACCAAGAAATGAGAGCAATCTGACAGCCTTGAACTGGAGAACCAAGAATTCTGAAATAGGAACTTTAGATTGAGGAAAGGCTGTGGCGAGAAAGGCAAAGCTGTGTCTGTGGTGGGGGACTGCAGGCAAAGAATCATCAACGTCGTCGCAAGCTGGTTAAAAGAAGTGGGAAGCTCCTATGTAGTATCATGGAGAGATGCAGAGAGTTGACTTGATGTAAACTAGCCATTACGAAGTGGCTGAGATTCTGATGCTGACCGAAACGTCCCTTGTAGATAGAGACATTATCCTGAGTCGGGCTACCTCGGCACAAGGGATAGCGTCCCCCCAGGTAGATCTACGGTACGTGCTCTATCGAGGTAGACGTTATGACGGTGTGGAGCTGCATCGGTAGGCAGGGGCGCATTCACATGTATTGGATTGCCCCTAAATCTGACTACCGGAAGATAGTTAAAGCGATCGAAAGATAACATCAACTATCCGCTCTTATCTGTGTGTAGGCTTGCCGACACCGCCTGTCATATTTAGCACCCCCTTGAAGCCACTTGTACCAATACACAGGTACTAGTACGTGCCTGTGCAACCAAGATACCTGACAGCAGAGTGGGGGTACTTGCACTGAGGCACCTCAGAGCGAAACATCAACTGTGGCCAGCTTGAGTTTCCAAGGACCTTAGGAGCTCCCAAAATACACGCCTGTTGTAAACAATCACGACCACAACGGCATCTCTACCACCGCCTCCACATTGCAACCCTCTCTTCACACTTGGAAAAAGATTTTCGTGACATCAGCACGCCCGACCATCTCAATACTCTGCAGGCTCACATAATTACAATGGTCATTATCTTCAATCCATTCCCTACTTCGCTCTTGTTCCTTGCTAACCAAGACGTTACTGCAGGCCTCCGCGCAGGTTATTTCGAATTCCGGCCACGACGATATGATCGTACGTACAAGCGTTTAGTCCAATTCCATCGTACATAATCATCATTTCACGGTGTACAACGTCACACGCGTCAGCTATAAAATGGGACGAAGAGGGCAACTGAGCTCTAGCACTCCCTGTGCAATGCGGTTCATTGGCCAGACCTAGAAATATCAAGCTAACTGTGAATTATTTTTCAGCACGATGCCGTACTCGACTACTATGGCCGCCGACTTGCGACATGTTCAAGCGACCGAACGATCAAGATATTTGAGATTGAGGGGGAATCTCAGCGACTTCTAGAAACTCTCAAAGGGTAAGGCCTACTGTTTTCTCCTTGCCATACATATCAGCCCTTCTGATGCTATAGCAGCCACGACGGTGCAGTCTGGTGCGTTTCGTGGGCGCACCCCAAATACGGCAATATTCTGGCATCAGCCGGTTATGACGGCAAGGTATTCATCTGGAGAGAGCAAAACAACCAGTGGCAGAAGATTTTCGACTTTGCACTGCACAAGGCTTCTGTAAACATTGTCTCTTGGTCACCACACGAGTCTGGCTGTTTACTTGCTTGCGCCTCCTCTGATGGCAACGTCAGCGTCCTTGAGTTTCGCGATAACAGCTTCGACCACGTCACTTTTCCGGCTCACGGGTTGGGCGTTAATTCTGTTTCTTGGGCTCCGGCAACGGCACCAGGCAGTATCGTAAGCAGCTCTCCAGGTCCTGGCTCTGCAGGTGTGAGACGGTTTGTCACGGGTGGTTGTGACAACCTGTTGAAAGTCTGGGTATTCGATGCGTCTTCACAATCATACAAACAGGAGCATGAGCCGCTTGCAGGCCACACAGATTGGGTCCGAGATGTTGCGTGGTCACCGACTGTCCTGCAGAAGTCTTACATCGCTTCGGCCTCCCAGGACAAGACTGTTCGTATATGGACCTCCGACTCATCAGGTACGGGGCAGTGGAATTGCAAGATTCTCCATTTTGATGCACCTATCTGGCGCGTGAGCTGGTCGCTGAGCGGAAATGTTCTGGCTGTGAGCGGAGGCGACAACAAAGTTTCGTTGTGGAAAGAGAACCTCAGAGGTGAATGGGAATGTGTCAAAAGTATTGAGGAGTAATCATGTTGTCATGAGGACATCACGAGCAAGGCGTTCGAGGGCAAATTAGGGCATAGATAGATCAACTGTGATTGATCCCCCAGCACTTGAAGTTACTTTCGTTGGGGTTGCTACATTTGTGACTTGTCTTGTCCTATTCAACTTGACTGTCTGCCTCAGAGCTTCTCATCGTATGAGATGTGGCAAGTGATGTGCATCTTATTGTGTCTCTTATAATTTGATGACGGTATGAATTGGCCAAAGCTCTTTGCTTCTCGCGACCGCTGCTCTGCAGTTTTGACGGAGTTCCGCCATCTCCAGCCCAACGAAATGCCTGCTTTGTAAAGTTGAGCAGCCAAAAGCTATCAGCAAGGTTCCAAATGTCGAATGCCCGGAGTGGGGAGGGTGTTTCTTCTTGATCGGCGATCAGGCGTGTGCCGACGTCATTAACGAATGCCAGGCGTCTGATTCTTGTCCTTAACTCAATAACCAGCATTGCAACTTGGCTATCAAGCAGGATGCCTTTTGGAGGAGTGAGGTTTTAGCCGTAGGACGAAACGACTTAGTAGTAACAGTATTGAGCATTTTGTAGACTGACTCTAGTAGGTTCTGATAGCTCCTAGCCGAAATAAGTAGTAACTGATACACAATCAACATAAACGGAATGTGTCCCTATCCATCGTGATGGTTGGAGGGTTCATGTTCCACAATGACGATGGAGTAAAGGCAACTGGTATTGTTGATAGCTGAAGTTGCCACTACCAGAAGTATAGTTGGTCGCTTTTCCGTCTGTGGGTTGAACGTCTGCGATGCTGGAGGAAGGAGACGTAAAGCTTTTGTCCAGAAGCGATCTAGTAACTTTAAAACGCAGCTTACAAGCCACTCTGATGCGAGTAGGATGTCGAAAAGCGAAGATTACATTTGCCTTCTCCATGCTACCTGGCTTCTGCTTGTGGTGATCCGTTGCTGAAAGAGTCGTCTCTCTCGCGAAGGGAGCAAGGGGATTACGAGGTTGATTGCTACCTTTAACACTGTGGTGCCCCATGTACCGCTCCCTGTGATCTAAGGCGCTGTTGAGGAAAAATCAAATGTTAGCTATCTGCTTCTATGTCCGGCATGCCACTGCCCTATATTACATCGATATGCTCCTTCTCAATGTGCTTCAACGGTTGGTGGGAAAGTTGTTCGATGCAGTAGACCTGCAAGATCAGGTGCAGGGGACCGCTGAAGTGAAAGCCCACCATGCTGCCGACCCGATTCCGTCTCCATTGTTCCCCCATGAACATATGTTTCTCACGACAAACCGACTAATCCATATATCCGTACCGGCGTCAGCTTTCACCTACTTGCGAAGGAATGTGACTGCTTGCAACCCGTAGCATTGAAAACAAAACCGGGCCCAGTCTCATAGGGCACTGAAAGTGGGCCATAAAGCCTTAGAAGCGTCGAGATGTGTATGATGAAGAGTTACTAGGCTCAAGGAAAGCATTCTTTTGGACTGCAAAATCAAGTCGTATTACACCCTGACGCCAGACTCACCGTCGTCCACAAAAAGTACCAAGCCATCCTGTCTCAACGCAGGCCGATAACGCTCATCTCCAGCGTCCAAACGCGCCTAATCCAGACCTTGAGCTTCCCCTGCACACCGTCTACTTGATCAAGCTCAACACCTTCCCACCAGCAGCGCCGAGCGGGCTTCCGCCAAAAAAGGAGCAGTTTCTGCGCCATACCTACAGCATTGCTGCCCATTTCGTGACCCCTTATATCGCTGCGCAACCTTGCCAGAGCAAGACTGCAGATGACCGCCTTATTAGGCTCTCCTGCCCGGTGGCCCCAAATATCGTCATGATTGAACCCGCTGGTATGAGCAATGTTAGCTTAAGTCCAGGGCCGATGAACATCATCCCACTGGCCGGCTTACCCTGCTGTTAACATCTCAATGAGATGAGCCTCCGTAGTGCCCGGCTCGTCACTCCGCTTGAGGCCGGAGAAGATGCCACCTTGCTGAAGCAGCGCTTTCCCCGCTGCTCGCTTGACTTCCATCATCTCTGGCTGCGTGATGTCTGCTCGCGGCGGAATGACATAAAAGTCCAGGTCCTCTCGCAGAACAATGATGCCCGCTCGCTTAGACGAATCGTCTCTTGAGCCCATAGCATCGACAGTTGAGGTATCCTCTTCCTGCGAAGCGCTTGGAGATACCTCAACTGGTATCGACTGGGCGACTGTACGAAAGAAGTCGAGCATATATTGTAGGGACGCCGGGTCATACTAAGAATGTAAGTGAACAATTATTAACTGCACTGCATCGGATACGTACATCAACCTGTACCGCATCGCCTTCAGCAAACCCGCCCATATGTCCCTCGGGAAAGAGCCCGTTGGGGAAAAGGGATAGAAGAACGAATTCGGGCAGGGTCAGAAGCTCATCCCTTGAAAGGACAAATTTGGTACCGCTACAGGTTCCTCATTAACGCATACATCAGTCCAGATAGTGATGAGCCTTACCGAAGGTCCATAGCGATAGTCTCGTCAGCGCCTACATCTGATATCAAGTAAGCAAATGGCCGCATAAATTGGCAGCGTGATTTTCTTGGTTACCTCCAATTGCGTTTATGGGTGGGCCTCCTTGTTGCACTTGAGTAATGATACTCGAAGCGCCGCCGGCGGTAGCCATGAGATAGGTGAAGGAATGGAGCGGACTAAATCCCTCCGAGTAGGCTGGCGGCGGCTCGGCTTCGTCGTCCTTTGCGGCTGAACCCCCTTTCGTATCTTGGGGAAGCGCCTGTTTTGTCTCAACAAGAGCCTGCTCGAATGGGCTTGAGGCTGGGTGGTCACCAGAAGAGCAAGAACTTAAAGAAGCGTACGCTGGCGCTGCGAGGGAGGGACCAGCAGCGGTGGCAACTGATTCGCCAGTACGATAAGTCTGCTCGGTGTCGGGGCTGGGCTCGGATGAGCCGTAAAGGGAAGAGAATGGAGGTGGACGCGAAGTTGAGGCCTCAGAAACAGGATACTGGGGGGGCGGTGACAGTCCTCGAAAGTTGGATGTCCCTCTTTCTTGTGTTTGGTCCTCCTTGTCTTCTTTCCTCCGCTTAGAATGCTGATTATGGTCTTCTTGACTAGTAGCCGTAACCCGGGCGGACACGGACTGCCCGTTTCTGTCTTGCGAATCTGGCAACGTGGTGGCGGTTTTTACTAAGGAGTTATTCAGGTATCAGGTCGTACCGAGGCACGGCGCGTAATCGCACACTGTTATCCGTGAATATGTGGTAGGATTATCTCGTGTCTGCTCGTGGTACTCGATTACTTAGCACGAGTGTAAAGTAAGGGATAACTGGTCTGTTGAATGAATGATCGAAGCACGAGATGGGCGGATAACAGTGTTCCAAGAATATTCAAACTAGCGTAAACAAACGCTGGTAAAAGTATTTGGGTGCACGTGGTTTCACTGAAGATAGGACAACACCGAGGTACTTGCTGGAAGAGGTTCGTTGTCTTCGCTGTTTCGTAACTGTTATCGTATTGACCGAGTCTTTCAGTTGGGTGCAGTTGATATTTAATTCGTGATAAAAAACAACGGACAAGGCTACATAGAGTGAATCTGTCAGGTCGGGTTTATGAGGCAGGAGTATGGGAAATGATGGCGGTTAAGACATGAATAGGAGAAGAACAGTCCCCTAGGCGCACCGTGCGTTGGTACATGTCCGACCGCAAAAGCTAACTTATTAAGGTATGACCAAGGATACTCCCCTCTCTTTTCCCCTTCCCTGTCGCTTCCCAGTACTACTAGTCTGGACCTGGGCACATACCAGTTATTGGCTTTAGCCGCCCGTGGCGTTCATACTATGCTCCTCTGAGAAATCTTATCATTCCACTTGCCTGTTCCTGTACTTCATAATGCTGGTACAGTGCACAAGACCCGTCAATTTCAGGGTAACTGGGGCTTGCGTGTCTACTTACCCAAGCTGGCTCATTCAACCAGTTTCTCCAGCCAAGTCACTAGATTTGATGTGGTACCTTCAATTCTAAAGTGAGGCCAGAAAGATGTTTGTCAGGCTGAGATTCGGTCCAACTTCTCCTTACAGAATGTTGACTGTCTGGGCGTGATTATCAAATAAATCAGCAAGCAGATGTTCTTGTGACTACACCCAATCTAACGTGCATGAAGTAACATATACACCCAAGTACCCAGGGTGCCATTCTGGGAGGCAACAGCCGCAAGATACTAGTCAGACGTACTTCATTCTCCTTCGTCACTACTATCGCCAAATATCGCCTTGAATACCTCATCATTTGGCCTGATTGCTTCATTTGTGGTTTCTTCACACGTAAACATGTCGGATCTTGTTTGTAACAACTCCCCGGGCCCCAGAGCACCCAAGGTTGCTGTCCTTTGTGTGATGTATGGTGGCGTATCTTTGACAGTTGCGTCGACAGGAAGTGGGCTCTGCGTCGTCGCCGCAATGCTCACCTCTGAGTCTTGCTGCATATGCGTAGGTGGCCGAACGTTGAATCGTTTGCAGAGCAACCTGGCTGGGAAGAAGTCTTCGGCCAGTCTCGTTAGGCGTCCATACATGCTCATCTTTGCGGCCTCTTCAGCCGCATCTTGTGGTCGTTGTGTCGTTGCAGGGTGCAGGCTGCTTGACTTAAATGCTGTTCCGGAAACCTCATCTGCCGGAAGCCTGGATCCCGCTGAGGCAGTCGTGAAACGTGTCGCCATGAGCCCATTCATCGGTTTAAAAAGTTGCGCACAACCGTAGAACTCTAGAAGCTCTTTGACAAACTCGTTATCGGTCATGTCAGATGGCTTTACAGGTGACCCGCCAAAACCAGCAGCGTTCTGTAGATAAAGCCTATATCTTCCACGTTTTGCATCGTCATCTGCGTACGGGCCCCTGGCACCTGTCCCCCGGCTCATCGCTGCGATAGCAGTTTCTTTTGTGAGATTAGGTAGGTTTCTCAAACTATCCTGTAGTTGCTGATCGGCTCGGCGCCCATGGTCCGCTGGAATCTCGCCTTTAGCGGGCGGAAGGTTTGATTTTCCTGAGGCTATGGCTAAGCGTTCTCGGGAGGCCACTGTCATGTAATCGAAAACAGACTTGCCAGGTAGCGAATATTCGCCCAGTACAGCAGCTCGAGACTTGGGATCATGGTGAGTTTCTTTGGCGGCGTCCGCTGTTGAGACGTACGCGGCCGCTTCCTTGGGGGATACGGTACGCTTTCTTGGCAACCAGCCTACGGGGATAACAGGATAAGGATGCAGCTCTGTCGGCTGTCCCGATGACCGAGATTCTGGACTTCGGCCAAGGGTAAAGCCATCCAGAGGCGGCTTTCCATCAAGGCATTTCCTGCTACCGCTAGCTTTGGCAGAGAGACCCGATTTAGAAGTAAAGACTGGCTTGGACCTGACGCCTGGATTTGCGGATATACTGACAGTCATCGGCTTTTTCTTCTTCTTTGCTTTGTCTACCCCCAGTGTTCTGTTGTATGATATCCGCGGCCCCATCTCGTATGGGTCGTCGTCATCTGAGCCAGTATCGTTCAGGACGCCAACACCAAACCCTCCGCGCTGGCCGTCCTTTACCTTTTTCGTTTTTCGAGAAGTAAAAAACAGTGACTTGGATATACCGGTGGAAGTGTCGTTGTTGTCATTATCATCATCGTCATCCTCGCTCGCCTCTTCACCTTGAATCCGGGAAAAGGCGTGAGAATCCTGAACGCTGTCGAAGCCAGACAATCCAGAGGGCGCAGTTTCGCTACCGTAGCCCAGACCCCTGCGATCAGCCTTACGAGAGAAAGCGATTACGTCCACATCCTTCGGAGCAAATAGAAAAGTCTCATCTGCTAATGGAGGATAAGCTTCTGTAGAAACCCCTAAGCGCGCTTTCCTGAGTACTTTTGGTCCGATGCCCTGACCGTCTTTCCAACCCATTCTCCGTAAAAGTTTGAGGCCCATTGTGTCGCCATGAATGGGCATCAAACCGGCTAGGATGTTGTCGTGGCGCTTGCTCTTCTCTGACACTCCAAGAACGGCAAACGGTTCAGTAGTTTGGATATCCTTAGCTGTAGCGACATCTGCAAGATCCTCCTCATCCATATAGTCTTCTGGGCGTTGAAAGGGTGTTTTAGGGTCATCCTTTCGGCGACTCGTACGGGTTGAAACAAAAGTTGATGGTGTCCATCCCTCCTTTGACCCGACAGTGTTAAAATAGCTAATAACAGAGGTCAGCGGCGGCCTAATTGCATCTTCAAATCTGCCATAGGCATGCATTCTTCCTCCCTTCTTTTCCCTCTTTGACGAGAAGAGAACGAACAAAGGGGGGGGGGGGGGGGGGGGGGGGACTTTACCCTGCGCTCCAGCCTCCAGTGAAGGCTCCATGAAGGCGTCGTCTCCCGCGGTCGTCTCTCACTTCCTGCTTGTGAAGGGGGATATAAGAGCCGTCATCACGGATGCCGGGGTCTAAGGGTGGCAGAGCAGTGCCGTATGTAACATGGATGCCATTCCCACCATGTAAGTCGGCTTCATACGCCGCGCGTGACCTTTTACTGTATGACATGGGGTTAGCGACAGGAGGGAGGTACAATTCCCGTGAGGCGGTTGAAGATGCAACCTGGCTTCGTCCTTCAGCCCTGTGATGACACGGCAGTCAGGACTAGCTTATGGCCTCAGGTCACTACGTCAAGAAACATGACACGAACTGGTAGGTGCACCAAGAGCTCGACAAGTTTATTTGTTTGGCCGTGTGGCTTATCGATAAGAATAGTGAGCGGGTCGGTCAGATACTTGGTAATATGCATAAGTACAGCCACTTGTTTTAATGCACAATGACAAATTAGCCGACGGCGGGCGGAGCTGGGTGTTGCGCTGTTTATTCAGTAGCTTGGCCATACTTAAATCGCCATTCAAGCGTCAAACGACTTTTCCGGTGTCCATGGGCATTGCTAGAGCCGTTTCTACCTAACTATTAAACGATGCGGATATATGTCTTTTTTTTCGCGGTAGGCTGGCGAACTCTGTCCAAGTGGGCGCAGGAGAGAGAAAAGAACTGCCTGTGCAGTTCTCTAGCCCCGCTCGCCTCTGTACTCAACGGGTTGAAGCTGCTCATTTCCCACCGCCAGCCAACTCCACGCGATGGTGGAGATGGGTTGCATGGGTCCAAGTTGAATTGCGTTTAGGAGGAAGGGGAGATGTGAATCGGGCACTGACGCCAACACTGACGCCGAGACCGGTATGGTACCAACACTCGGGCAATTGGAGAAAGACGGGGAGAATGATGCATAGAGGCGCTCATCACATCTGTGCTTTCACGACCTGGTTTGCTCATGTCCGAAACGCATGGATAATGGGTAGGCGATTCCACGCACATAGGCATCGGTCAATAAATTGAGAAAACATGAAAGGCACAGCAAAATTAAGCAAAACCTGCCAAGCAGAGGTATCCCTCAACTTAGCTTTCATGCCTCCTAAAATCATTCAAACGGAAAGCCCTGAGGGAAAAGAGAGAAGAAGAGACGGCTGAACGCAAATGTGAGTTCAAAGACCTGTGAGCAAAAGCGAAAGCTTGATACCCCACCTGGGCCCATTGAGATTCATAATTGGGGACCACTTCACATCAGTTGGCTTTGAACATGTTAAGCATGTCGTGACCGTTTTGCCAGTCCTGTGTCTGGCAGCCTTTCCCAATTAGACCGTCAACAGCCGGAGGTATCACCTTTCCTCGGTCTGTGCCCTGTCCAGGCATGTTTGCTGAAGACTTTCCTTCCAGTGGATTGATGATCGAGGACTCCCATTGTACTTCCATATTTTCTGGTCGATAACTTTGCCCGGTTGGCTTGGGTAGGGAGTTGTATTCATTTCGGCTGTCCTTCAGGTTCTTCTGCTACCTTATTCTGCTAATCTAAATGCATATTCCCTGATTCTTACTCGTTTCAGTAACTCTCGTTTGTTGCCAAAGGCGAAGGGCTTCCAGGTAGTGATGTACCTCAAGCCATCCACCCCTCCATCGCTGTACTTGTCACTTTGTGCAGGCGGATACAAAGTACTTACAATACAAAAACTTCCGTTCAGGGGTGCACAGGGCGAAGTTGAAAATTATTGCGAGCCCCATCAAGAAGGAGGGGGAATGAATTGGGCGACTGCTGATCTTCGCGCAGAGATACATCAGTGGACACCTTAACCCAGAGACCCAGGTGTTGTCATTGACCACTTGGCGCCCAACCCCTCCCCATCGAAATGAAAATGAAAGTAAAGATCCATTTCCAACCGACGGCTTAGTGTAGACATTGAACAGGTGAAATGAACGAAAAATAGAGAATGGGTATTGAAACTGTCCTGAAGGAAGGAAAGGGGGAGGTGGGTTACTGTCTTTTAGCTCGCTGCTTTAGTCAAGTCAGCCACACACATACTTAGGTACCACCTACCCAGTAGTATGAACACTGACCTGACAGGCCCCTCGCCCTCTCTCTTTCTCTTTCTCCCCTGTTTCGTTGCACCGTACTGAAGATACCCCACAGCAAAGCACCAGACGTTCTCATCTCGCCTTGCCTTGCCTGCCTCAATCGCCCGTTTATTCTGTTTCGGTCCCTTATCCCCGACAAATTTCCACTTTCACTTTGACGCTCGCTCTTTTCCTTCCCCGTGTTCCGTCCCTTCTCGCTTCGCCTGTCCACCTGCGCCAGCTCCAGCGACCCTCGCTGTATGTGTATGTGCGTGTGCGTGTGTGTGTGTGTCGCATCCCCCTCCTGCAATGACTACAGCAATCCCGACAAGCTCTGATCCTTCAGCATACGCTCAAACCGTCCCTGCCCGCTCCCTCTCTACCAGAGCCCGGCCTCCTGTCTCCGCTTCTGGACCACAGCGTGCATCCTCCACCTCCAATCACTCCCACCACCAACATCATCACCACTATAGCCGTAGCCAGCAAAACCACCGCCAACACCATCGCTCCCACTCACGGCATTCGTCTTCTACTGCTGCTGCGCCTTCTTCGATTCAGGACACTCTTCCTCATCATGGTCATGAAGCAGCAAGTCTAATCTCCCACCCCAAAAGATCCGCCTCCAAAGAATACTCGCCTTCCACCACCCGCGCCGACGCCTCGCGTCCTCAGCGTCACGGAAGCACCAGATCTAGCCACAACCCAACTCAACCCAACCCGGATATGCCTGCCAACACCGCCGTTGCCAACAACGCTGGCCCTGCTCCTGTCGCTCATGGCGCAGCTGATCCTAGGAGTCCAGGCACATCCTCTGCCTCAGCCTCTAAGCATAGCAGGTCACGCACCACTATCCCCACGCCATCAGGAAAATGGATACTGGGCAAGACAATTGGCGCTGGCAGCATGGGAAAAGTGAAGCTGGCTCGCAAGGAGGATACCGGCGAGCAGGTTTGTCTTCTCCTTCCCGGCTGCTTTCTTGAAGACCAATAGCAGCGCCGACTCTTCTCTACCAGCCGTCGTTGTGATTGCTAACGTAGTTTTCGCTCCGGCATTTAGGTTGCTTGCAAAATCATCCCGCGTGGCTCCACAGATGATGGGCATCACAGTCGTGCCGATAAGGAAAGAGCAGATCAGTCTAAGGAGATTAGAACTGCCCGCGAGGCAGCCATTGTTACTCTTCTTAGCCATCCCCATATCTGCGGCATGCGAGATGTTGTCCGTACCAACTATCATTGGTACATGCTCTGCGAATATGTCAATGGCGGTCAAATGCTTGATTACATCATCTCCCATGGCAAGTTGAAGGAAAAGCAGGCTCGGAAATTCAGTCGCCAGATCGCCAGCGCCCTCGATTATTGCCATCGCAACAGCATTGTCCACCGCGATCTCAAAATTGAAAATATTCTCATTAGTAAGACTGGCGATATAAAAATCATCGATTTTGGCCTTAGCAACCTCTTCGCACCTCGCGGTCACCTCAAAACCTTTTGCGGGAGTCTCTACTTTGCCGCTCCAGAACTGCTTCAAGCAAGGGCCTACACAGGCCCCGAGGTTGACGTGTGGAGCTTTGGCATCGTACTTTATGTTTTGGTGTGTGGCAAGGTGCCTTTCGATGATCAAAGCATGCCCGCACTGCATGCCAAAATCAAGAAGGGATTAGTAGACTATCCCAACTGGCTCTCAAGCGGTAAAACCTCACATATTCCGGTCGTTGGTTAAGTTCTCTGGGCTAATTTATTATAGAATGTAAGCACCTGCTCTCTCGAATGCTTGTCACCGACCCCAAGCAGCGTGCCACGATGCTGGAGGTGATGAGCCATCCATGGATGACCAAGGGATACAGCAGTCCGCCCGACAACCACTTGCCCCCTCGGGAGCCTTTGTCGCTTCCTCTTGACACAGATGTCGTGAACGCCATGACGGGTTTTAACTTTGGGTCTCCGGATGCGATAAGAGCGCAGTTAACAAGGACCATTGAATCCGAGGAGTATCAGCGTGCTATTCGTCTCTACCAACGCGAAAAGGAGCTTCCTCAGCCGGTCAAGGATGTGGAGAAAAGACGTGGATTCGGCTTTGACTTCTACAAACGGAGGAACTCAGGCAATAGTCGTGACACTCTCACAGCTCCAAGCTCAGAGGCTCTTCAGCTTGGAAATGATCCTTTGAATGCATTCAGCCCATTAGTTTCGATATACTACTTGGTGCGAGAGAAGCAGGAACGTGATCGGGCCGAGAGGAACCCTGGGGTACCAAACGCGCCTAAAGACAAACTTCCAATTCCGGAAATCATGCCGCCACAGGAGGCTCACACCAACACGGCCGCTTACGAGATGCCCGGCGAGAGAATCACAGGCGGTCGTTCTCGACCCCGCGCTAGGACTCATGGTGAAGATGAAGCACCAGAGTCAGTCAAGGCTGCGCAGCTGTCACCAACTGTTCCGATATCGCCAGAGGTGCCGCCAGAGCCTTTGCCGAAGAAGGAAAGCACTGCGGCTGGCATCCTTCGGCGCTTCAGCACACGGAGACGTAAGGAACCGGAGAGACTGGATAGAGACCGATCTCACCCACCTGTTGTTCAGGTACAGGCTCCGTCTGATGTTCCCCCGCCCCCGGTGCCTAGAAAAAGCTTCAGCATACGACGAGGAAGACGAGATCATGATGAGTCAATTCCTATGCCCTTGCGGTCTGGCAGCAGCCAGCCACAACATAGTGATCTACTCAGCCCGCCTCCATCTGCTGGAGGCGCTTCCTCACGCCGGAAGGGCCTAGGTCGGTCTACCAGTGTAAACTCAGCAGATCTTCGTCGGCGGGGATCCAACCGAGCACTAAAGGAGCCCCCCCCAACAAGTGGATCGGATCACTCAGCAACCACTGACAGACCACCGCCAGCATCACGCGATAGCCAACAGTCACGAGCAGCATCCATGAGAGCGAAGTCTCTTGGTCATGCTAGACGTGAGAGCATCCAACAGCGTAGGCTTCGGCGAGAAGAGGCGCGGGAAGCGAATGTACCAGAGGAGACGGATCAGGAGCAGGGTGACCAGAGCGGCGTGTCCACTGACAGACTGGACAGCTCTGACCTGGCCAAACCTGTTTTTCTAAAGGGCTTGTTTAGCGTATCGACAACTTCGACCAAGACGGTGCCGGAAATTCGAGCTGACATCAAGCGTGTATTGAAAGGCCTTGGGGTAGACTACACGGAAATCAAAGGCGGGTTCTCCTGCAAGCACACCCCGAGCATAGATCTTAAGAAGGTTCAGGACCCCCCTGGTAGCCCTAGCCAAGCACCGCCTGGTCATAAGAGGCGATTCAGCTTTGGCGGAATGAGGGGAGGTGGAGATCGGGAACGAGAAGACTTTCGTGACACCGATCGAGGACCGCCGACGCCACGGGGGACAGGAAGGCACGGAGCCGATAGCTATTCCAATTCAGACGTCTCGGTTGATAGTGTCTCCCGGGAAACTGGGGGCTCGTCGAGAAGGGTGCCAGGCGAAACGAGCACTCATGTGCAGAGCGATCTTGGTGGGAGCATGGTCTTGGAGTTCGAGATTTTTATCGTCAAGGTCCCATTGCTATCCCTTCATGGGGTCCAGTTCAAGCGATTGGTGGGCAATACGTGGCAGTACAAAAATATGGCAGATCAGGTGCTGAGAGAGCTTCGCCTGTGAGATGGAACACGGTGGGCTATACAACCAAGTAGGTACGCTTCGTTTAGGAAACCTCTTACTGGCTGACCAACGCACTTGAGGCTTGAACCATGCCAGTACATGTAAAGGGCATTGATGGCGCACAGACATATTTACTACCTTCTTCCTAAACCGTGTTTTTACCTTGAACTTTTCTCACCCCCCGTTTTCCTTTCCCCAGGTTGCCTTGACCATAGCAAGACTGTTAGACTGTTGAGAAATCTGGCATATGTCTTGAACCAACTACGATAGGGAGTGACCACTTTCATTCTACTTTTTTTTTCTTCTTAGGAATAGGCGCCTTAGGGCAATCCATGGCGATGTTTGCGGTAACACGCTAATTAAAAGAGATTAAACGCGCTCAGCCCGAAAAAAGATAGGGCTTGTAGTGAAGAAGGGGAAAGTAACTGCTCATATCCCGAAGCGCCCGAAAGTGCACAGAAAGTGGTCAACGAGTAGCTGTGGTTGTACTACTCTCATGATGGGCAGCATACGCTGTCTTTAGTAGGAAAGAGCCCTGGAGTAGAGTGGAGCACACATTTCCTTCGATCGCAAAATATGGGCTGCGATTTAGTAGGTCCTTCTTACATAAGGTACAGTGAGGTACAACAGACACTAAACCTTCTAAGGTTTTACTAAGTAAGTTGTGCCTCCTCCCTTTCTGGCCAGGTACCTGACCTTAAGGCATCCTGCACCTCCCATGCCTTGCCTGCCTTACCTAAGGTAGGTAGCCTTGTCTCTGGTCTAGACGACCCATGACACTTTCCTTCCTCCTCGCCCATCAAGGACCGCACAACTGTCAATTTGATCTTGCACAACCACCACCTACACCCATTACTACGAACACTAACCAACAAACGGCCCAAATACGTATGTAATTATTTGCCTCCTCAGAGCATCTCGCAATTTCACGCCCGTTTGCCCGCCTCGGGAAGCACACCACATCGTACGCTAGCCTGCCATCGGAAGACGAGCCGACAAGAACACGGAAACAAAGCGACAAGAATAACGAGCACAAAAACAAAATTCCTCGAAGGTTCTATTCACTTTCCTCTACTGCGCCTGCTCATTGGGGCTCTTCTTCTTTAAGCACCACCCCGCAAAGTACGTCGATCAAGTGTCTCGAAGATGATGCCAGCTCCCCACGTGTATGCACACCACCAATTCAATCCACAAGCCGACTCGGCGTGGATGCATCAGCAGTCGAACCAACATCACCATGCCCAGCAAGCTGCGGCCGTAGCTGCTTCCGCTGTTCAGCAGCAGCAGCAGCAACAACAACAACAGCAGCAGCAGCAGCACAACAACAGCAGCAACAACAACAGCAGCAGCAGCAACAGCAGCAGCAGCAACAACAACAGCACTACAATCGACTCGCCAGTGCCCATCCGTCTATTCCATCCCTAGCCAACGCTCACGGCCAAGATGGCGGCCATGATAACATCTCTGAAGACAACCGGAGGACTATGTCTTACATCGCTGACCTGTTGAATGAGAGCACTCGCGAGGCTGCTCTGCTGGAGCTGAGCAAGAAGCGAGAGCAGGTGCCGGAGCTAGCGCTAATCCTCTGGCACTCCTTCGGTAGGTTACCATCGCTTGTGCTCCGTAAACCTTGTTGGAGAGCGAGGTGATCTAACATCTGACTTAGGCGTGATGACCTCGCTATTGCAGGAAATCATTTCGGTTTACACCCTACTGAACCCGTCGCAGCTTACGGCTGCGGCCTCCAACAGGGTATGCAATGCGCTAGCACTTTTACAGTGCGTTGCTTCTCACAACGACACGCGCACGCTTTTTCTGAATGGTATGGCGCATCTAAACTACTGAACTGACTTTTCCGTCGTTGACTTGCTCACTCTGTTTGTCCAGCCCATATTCCATTGTTCCTCTATCCTTTTCTGAATACGACGTCAAAATCGAGACCCTTCGAATACCTACGTCTGACCTCACTTGGCGTCATTGGTGCTCTTGTGAAGAATGACTCATCTGAGGTTATCAATTTCCTCCTGACTACCGAGATTATTCCACTCTGTCTGCGCATTATGGAAACGGGTTCAGAGCTGAGCAAGACTGTTGCTATCTTTATTGTACAGAAGATCTTGCTAGATGACAATGGCCTCAACTACATATGTGCCACCTACGAGCGTTTTTATGCGGTAGGTACTGTGTTGAGCAATATGGTCGCTCAACTGGTCGAACAACAGACCGCCCGTCTCCTCAAGCATGTTGTCAGGTGCTTCCTTCGGTGAGTTTTCTTCATAGCTTTCGATGGTATTTAGTATTCTCAGCTTACCGTTGGGCGTTCAATAGGCTGAGTGACAATGCTCGGGCGCGTGAGGCCCTTCGGCAGTGTCTCCCAGAGCCCCTCCGAGACGCGACGTTTTCCTCGGTTCTTCGAGACGATGCTGCGACGAAGAGATGCCTGGCGCAACTCCTCATAAACCTCTCAGACAATGTTGTCGAACCCACACCAGGGGGCCACCACGGCCTTTGAAGCCAAAAACCACACCACACCATACTGTAACGTTTTCGGACCAACATAGATTCATGCATAAGTCGGCGACTAGGAGGTCAGTGATTTCATCGGAAAACGCAAAGCATCGTGGACGTATTGATACCCGCTTCCTCTGCCCTCCATCAGGGCACAACAGGTTGATCTGGAGTGCATATTCGACTCACGGTCTTTCTTTCATTTATCATTTGTAGTAGCATCGAAATGGACGGTTTAAAAAGCAAGGGTTTTCGTTTGGAGCTGGCGACCGGGGGTGGGGTCATGTCATTTGATTACACGGACAGGAGCAGGCGGACCTTGGGATGGAGCCAGAAGGGATGGTATCTTGGGCTCCTCTGTCGGACACGGGTCTCCTGGTGCTGGCGTTCATCCAATTGGTAGGGCGTGGTGGCATAGCTTTTTCCGGATAGGTTTCTTGTTCAAATTGTCTTTATTGGCAGCAGTTCAGGGCACGTATTAGCAACTTGTGTTGTCCGGGTATCTACTTTCCTGTACGTATATCACGGCTCAGATTCAGGTACTCGTTAGTTGAAGTTTTCATGAGGATTGGAAGTCCACTCTGTGGTCTTGAAGCACTTGTCTTGAATTTCCATGCCCAATCTGCCGACTATTTGAACAAGGGTGGGAACAAATATCTGATTAGCAAATGGAACGGTAGGGCTAAATGTGACACATACAAGGTCCTACGGTATTATGGACAAACATGATGCCTTTTGATGTTTCGATGGCACTGCATGCTTCTCCCGCGTCTAGGCTTTGTTCCCATGCCCTTTCCCTCCCGACTTAACTCCATCTGTGGGCAGAGCGTGGTGTTTTGGGCCATATGATAGACAAAGTGGGTATGCAACGCCTCTCCTGTTGTAATGGGCGACATTGTCGGGGAGCTTCTCACTGTTATGTCTGACTTTCTAGTGCTATGATAGATGTGTTTCTACTTCTGCTTCTTTGCAAACTCGTTTCTGTCCTGATGTCTCTCGCAGTTGATCACACGAACACAGACTTGAGCCAAGTCTAGGGAAGGGCCTGTTGGGCATGCAGATTTGGTGGTTTCGAGAACATGACCAATAGTCCCTAATATGGATCTTGGTATATGCTTTGCAAGTGTTGGCCCTAGGCTCTTGGTCTTCCGCCGGTCTATCGTTGTAGTTGCTGTCGTATATCGAGCAGTCAGAGCCATTTGTTCGCATTGCACCATCAGAGGTGCTCTAACACGCAATCAGGTTTTTCCCTGGGGTTGCGTGCACCGCAATGTCGACTCCACTGGCCACTTGAAATCATACTCCACGGTCTTACCTTTGTGGCTGAGAATACTGATCCGACCTGTGGATGCAAACCTACACATCCACTATCATCTCTTATTCCAATAAATTTGGGGGCAACCCTCGGCATCCCAGTTGTTAGGCTCTATTTGCATATGGCACTGCTTATAAGTTGATATCGGCTCCAAGACAGACAGTCCTCTTGGTTAGAATTTGCTTCTCCAACTATCACTCGTACGTAGTGTGTTTCAAGTTGCCGATTAACCAATTCGGTGTAGGGCGTGGACCATCAAAACTGTTACCTGGCTTGTAGGTTGTAATTGAAACATAATGCCCATGAACATCACCAGCCTGGGTTTACCCTGCTAGTCAACTATCTCAAATCAAAACGAACTGCTAGTCATTACCACAAGTTCATCCACTGTTACTTCGAGTCCTACCATGCATTTACACGCCGCGTGCTGGGCGGAACAGCCCAACATCACTTGTGAAATCTATGAATTTCCGAAACACACCCAAAGACTAAGACTCTCATCATATAAAGCTATTTGGTTCGTTAGCCGTATGCTTCCACATATCCGGTAAAGGCTAAAGCGCCAACTCATTCATGATCTTGCATGCCCAGATTTAACATCAAGGGAGACAAACTGGACACCAAGGAGCCCCTCCAGGACGCCGTAGCTATCGAACTGGCTATCTTGACAGTAACAGCCAAGTTCAAACTATGTCAAACATACTAGTACAGCTGATGTTCTTGAAAAAATTATCGAAAGTACTCAGCGTAGCTCCCAACGACAAGACAACCAAATCACACGCACTTGCGCGTAGTTCAACGTTGTTGCCCAGAAAGACGATTGAAAACGATGAGACCAGTCCTTTAGAAAAAGACGAGTTGTAGATGCAACGGTAGATCATGACGCGACAGCAACGATAGTCCTTCGCGCCAGAGAGTTGGCTAGAAAAACAAAGAGGCTATTAGCCGGACACAAGACTGGCAAATAACGTGAAACCTCTGTATTTCATCACGCTGTTTTCTCCATGGTGGACTGCTGTTAGGCCAGCTGCAACAATTTCATTGAAAAAGCAAATACGCCTGCTGCTAGAAAACTGCTAGAACAGCAACAACAAGCGCCTGCTCTTTCTTATTTTTACTCCTTACCATTCTCTTAGTTTGCTATTTTACTTATCCCCCCTTCTTTCTGCTGGGCCAAACCTTGTACAAAGTACTTCTTGAGAACACGCTGTATCTGCTAATGGCGCAGGGAACCCAGGTTCCTACGAGGTTAAGATGGGCTATAGGCCCATATGCTTGATATACACTTATTAATGACGCCTAGGAGGTCCTTCTTCCTTGTCTAGGCGGCAGACGGTGAGAAACGACGGTGACTTGTCAGAGTGGCAGTTGAAATGAGCAGACATGTTGAAAATTGCGGCATGACTCTTCCATACTCATTCATTGTATAAGAGGCTACGGCAAGAATTAATTCCAAGCAACTAGCAGACAGTCAAGATGGTAGACATGTTTTGATCAAGATGATGAGGTAGCGGCCAACTAGGGAAAGACTGAATTCGAAGCCTTGATCTTGGATACATATTTGCGCAAATGAACAACCAAGTGGCTAATTGGATGTAGTTTCTTGAGACCTGAGTTGGAGAAGAGAAGATTGAGTTATCACGTTATCAATCGACTGCCCTAGGTAGACTAGTTGGCTTTAGGGACGAAACAGCACTGGGGAGAACGGTCTAGCCAGAAAAGAAACCGTATCTCTGGTTGCACGAGGCGATTAGCTGTGGAACTGTTTCGGTCTGCACACGCCGGTTGCGAGGGAATGGGTGTAGATTCTAATTTCTAGATAGTTTTAGCGGATGCGTTGCAGGTGTAGGCGCAGGCGAAGTGGGTGCAAGCAGGCGCATATGAGAAGAGTAGAGAGGTACGTACCTTTGACTACGGGAACCAGTCTTCCCCTTCCCCTCCCGCCCTTTTCCCACCAAAATGTGTAAGGCCGCACCAAAAACTGGCGGTGGCCGCAACAGTTCGAGTAGGCGGAGCTTAGCATACATTTACTAGAGGAATCACCGTTAGTTTCGATCGGTCGTGTTAGATTCACATCCGTATCTGCCGCCGTCCCTCCAGGTCTCGGTTGCCACACTCACATACACGCATATACACATGCACACAAGTAGCTGACTGTTCACTGTTGGGCGACACCCATATTTACTCACACGCAAGAAACTTAATACCATCGTAGAGCTACTACGCTCATGACACTCGACGTCATCATCTCGGTGATATGATGCCCAGGTGCTGCTTTTTTCGGTGCCTCCGCCGATACCGCAGCTTCCCACAGTACGGTTGAGGGGCAGAGAATACACAGAAAGGAAGATTGGGACCAAGGTCAAAATATTTGTTGGTCTCTTGAGGGCAAGACTTGAACAGATCAGATGAATTCGCACACTCGCAAATGCGCTGCTAAACACTACCGGGCAGCGACCCTGCGCGACCGGACTAGCGGCCGATTCTTGCGATCGGGGGCCATGAACGACGGAAAATGAACAATTGCACATCCAGTCGGCTACAGGGCCCCCTAGCTTGTATCTTGCGTTGGAATGATTGCCTACTTGAGGCAACAGTCAAGCAACCGAGGTACCTCTGCGGCAAGGAGGCAGGCTTGGCTTCGGTGTGGCTGGGTTCAGTGACTCCTCCGGGCATTGTTGACAGCAAATGCACCCTGAGGGACTGATTGGCCAATCACTGCTCATGTGTCGTATCGTTGCTTGACAGGCCACCAGGCTGAACGGTAGGCTTTCTGGTATCGGCTCAGGGTGCTAGCAGTAGTCTGCAAGACCCGTCCTGCAGGTAGACGAGAGCGGGAAATTATTGTGGGCGATACGTACCAATCTAGGTATCCCTACTCCGTAACCAGTGGCCAATGGGACTTAAAGATATGAGGGAAAACTGGTTGACTGCCCTACAAGGAATTGCCGAAGGAGACTGAGGTGTTGAGTTGTAGGATGCTAGACCAATCCGGCTCGGGTACGGTAGCACGGAGCCACCAGCAACGAACGCAATGCTACCCAGCTCCGGGACTTTGGTATGCTGGATTGGGAAGTTCAATTGCGTGGGCCACCGATCCAGTGGATGATACAACACGCGGCTTCGTTAAATCCGACCGAGCTGGGGGTTTAGGGCGGCCGCTCTTCCCCGCCGAGGCTGCCGTTGACGAAAGGGAGAGCGAGAACAAAGAAGGTCATTGACCACTTGCCTGTACCTCGTGTCGACATGCCCATAGTCGTATTTTGGCTAATGAAATGCAGACTACCGAGCTATGCACAACTCTTAGACGGTCTCATACTTGGTGAAGGTGAAGGAGACTCGGCTACTCTCTAGATATTCCAGCGTCAGAGGATGGTTGATGTGGAGAAAAGCCCATCAGTCCAGATTCTTCCCAACTCAAATTCCACAAGATCGTTTAGCAGCAAGTGCAAGTGGCTGCCAGCCACGCACGGTACAAGGTACTGATAGCTACTGGGTTGGGATGGGGATACAATAGATCAGGAGGCGAGAAGAGCGAAGTACGTAACCTGTCTCTGCAGCGTACTTTAGGAACTCCGTGGTATCCGCACCGCCGAGTGACCCCAGTCCTCCAAGCAAGCGAGCTTGAGGTTACACAACATCTCGTGCACCTCTCTTCGAGCTTGGGCTGCTACGTATACTCCCCCACC